AAAAAAAAAAAAAAAAAGGGGGCCAGGGATTTGGCTCAGTGGTTCTGCTGCCTGCCTCTCAAGCACAGGGACCCAAGTTTGATTCCTGATGGTGGAGGGGAACAGGTATGAATAGATGAAGTGAAGGGATAGAAAAATACATTACATAGAAATAACCAAAAGAACATGAGTAGCTATACAACTATCAGACAACATATACTTTTAAAAAAAAACCTTTATTGGCACATTTTAGATACACATGATAACATTCATCATAGAGAATTTGTACCTGTACAGGATATATCTTGATTCTTTTTTTCCATCCCCCCTTGACCCCTCTTCCCTTTGTTATTTATAAAAGCTTTGTTTTCATTTTTTCATTGTCTCTTCTTTCCTTTCCCTGCCCCCTCCCTTGTTCCTCTTCTCATTTAAACATTTTCTTCCCATTTCTCTGTTATACATTTTAATCCTTATTTCCACTTTCAGTTTCTCACACCAGAGAAACAATGCAGTGTTTAAATGTGTGTCCAATTTATTTCACTAAAGAGTATGGTCCCAAGGTACATTCATTTAGCTAGAAATGTCTCAAGCTCAACTTTCTTTATGGTAGAATAGTAATCCATTGTATAAAAAAAAAACCCTACATTTTCTTTATCCATTCATTAGTTGATAGGCATTTGGGCTGTTTCCAAGATTTAGCTATTACAAACAGTTCTGCTATAAACATGGGTATGCATATATTGCTGTGGTATGCTGCTTTTAATTCTTTTTGGAAGACACCAAGAAGGGGAATAGCTGGGTCAAATGGAATGTCTACTTTTAGGGGGTTTTTATTTTGTTTTTTTGAGACAGGGTCTCATTATGTAGGCAAGGGTAGCCTTGAACTCGCTATTTAGCCCAGGCTGGCTTCAAACTCGTGATCCTCCTGCCTCAGTCTTCTGAGTGCTTGGATTACAAGTGTGCACCACTACACCTGGCTACTACTTTTAGTCTTTTGAGGAATCTCCACACTGATTTCCACAGTAGTTGAACCAATCTATGCTCCCACCAACAGTGGAAAAGGGTTCCTTTTCTTCCCATAGCTTTGCCAGCATTTGTTATTGATTTCTTGACAACCACCATTTTTTTTGGAGTCAGATGGAATCTGTGTTGTTTTAATTTTTCTCTCTCGAATGACCAGTGCTGTTATATTTTTTCATATATTTATACCATGTATTTATTTGCTATTTCTACTTCATCTGAGAAATATTCACTTTGGAAGCCCATTTTTGGATTGGGTCTTTAAATCTGGTCTTTATGTATTCTAGATAGCAATCCTTTGTCTGAGGAAAAGCTGGCAAAAAATTTTTCCTGCCCTGTGGGTTGTCTCTTCACTCTGTTGGTTTCTCTTGCTGTGCAAAAGCTTTTTTTAATAAGATGAGATCCTACTTATTGATTCCTTGTGATAGTTCCTGTGTGATTGGGATTTTGTTCATGAAGTCTTTGCCTACGCCAATATCTTCAAGAGTTCTACCTATTCTGTCTTTTAGTAGATTTAGTGTTTCTGTTTTAATATTTAATCTTTGATCAATTTCAATTTTACTTTAGTGTGTGGTGAAAAATATGAGTCTAGTTTAAATCTTTGGCATGTGGAAAGCCAGTTTCTACATCACCATTTATTTTAGAGGCTTTCTTTCTTCCAGTGAAAGTGTTTGGTTCCTTTGTCAAAGATAAAGTGGCTGAGTGTCTCTGGAGTTGTTTCTGCATCTTCTAATCTGTTCCATTGATCCTTGGGTCTCTTTTGTTGTTGTTGTTCCAGAACCATGGCATTTTTATCACAGTAGCTTTGTAATATAATTTCAAGTCCAGGATTGTGATACTCTCTCCCTTGCCTTTGTTGTCCAAAATTGCCTTTGCTGTTCTAGGTCTTTTCTTGTTACAAGTGAATTTTAGGTTGTTTTCCTTAATTCTGTGAGATACAGACAAAATATAATTTAAATCAGAAAAATTTATAAGAATAGAGGAAATTATTATAAAAGGCTGAATACAGCAAGAAGATATAACAAACATACTTACCTAACTACATACCATCAAAATATATGAAACAAAAATTGACAATTCAATGTACAAATAAACATTTCTACAAAATTGCAGATTTTAATACCCCATTCTCAATGGATAAGATCATTAGGGGGAAGGTTACTAAAGAAATACTGTAGACAATCAAAAAATATAATCAGTTAAATTTAACATGTACAGAACACTGTCCAACAAAACCAGAATACCATTCTTCCCACATACAGCTGAGGTATTTTCCAGGATAGACCGTATGTTAGCCAAGTTATGTGTCAAAGTATCTTCTTCAACCACAACTGGTTGTAAATGAAATCAGTAACATAAGTGGAAGATTCACAAATTTGGGGAAATTGACAACACTCTTAATGGATCAAAGGAAAAAAATCACAAAAAAACAAAAAATACTTGTAGATGGATGAAAAGACTTACACTACTGCCAAACTTACACAATGATAGCACTGATCAGAGAAAATTTATAACTATAAATGCTTACATTGA